TAAAAGGGAGTTTTTCCTTCCTGCTGTCGCCAAAGTGCTTGCTCATAGGGGGTCATATGATTGTTGGGTTTTTCTCTGTATGTAGGATCTACTGTACAATATAAAGTGTCTTGAGGCGGTTGCTGTTGTGATTTGGTGCTGTGTAAATAAAATTGAATTGAATAACCTCCTGCTGGTTTGTCGTCATGGAGATGGGAGGGTGTTGGGTTTGAATTTTACGTGAGATTAACAGAATCTTTAGTTTCTTACTGACTGAAACCTTCAGATATATCAGTACAAAGGAACGTGCGGGGCAGCAGTAGACACGATAACCTGACATCAGTCACGACCACCTCTTAGCTCAGTGCCTGCAAAACAAGCAGCTTCTCCCCACATAGATGCTCAAACTCCTCAAGGTGGATCAATGAACACGCTGTCAAGGGTCACATGTCTAACCTGTGGACAATAAATAATTAAGACAACATGAGTAACAAATGAGCATGGTTGTGCTTTGGTGTGTTCAAGCCCCGACTTGAGCTCAGGAGATGAGGGTCGAGGTAACGAGGATGGTGTTTTAAGATGCGATAGCGCTCTTTCCTTCCAGTTGGTGAAGGCGACCTCTGATAATAAAACCGCTACGATGCTTCATATGTTGATCTGAAGGAGAAGGCATCACGCTGTGATGATGTATAATTATGAGAATAATCTTTTTACTGGCTGTAACCTTTAACCAATCAGCAGTGATTCTGTATGAAAACATGCCACAGATCTGCTGTTACATGCTGAGTCACAGAGCACTGACCTTTGACCTTTGTGTTTGTGTGAGTTAAAGTTTAACAGAGCGAAACCTCTTTGGTGCAGTCTGACCTCAGATAAGCTTATATTTGATATGAGTACTCCTCATTGGGTAACGCCCCCGTCTAATCAGCGTGAGGACCCGCCCACTGTGGCTTCCTAAAATCCGTACACTGTCCCACTGAGCAAACAAAAAGTCTTCCCAGTTTATTTCCAGTTCTTGAGCTTTACACATTAAACAGCGTGTGGGTCCAAAATCACGTACCTGCTGGTTTGCTCGCCGTCGTTCCTGATCGCTCGTCTCTGGGCAGCGGGTGGAAGAAGGTGTACACCAGGTCACACTGTGCAGACACACACACACGGGGTGATCAGCCTGTGATTAGCTCACTGAGGTAAACGGGACAAAGGTCGGTGTAATCAGAATAAAGACGAGTGGACCTGACACAGCTCAGAGAACATCCCTGCATCGGTGCTGTGGACGTTCAGCTCAGGACAGAGCACTTCTAAGAACTTCCTGGGACTTCCAGGAAGTGAGGGGTCAGCTCACCATCCTTATCTTATGTAAGAAACAGGAAATGCATCTTTCTGCAGGGCGGAGAACCTTCATCACAGCGACATGATCACACACCTGCCTCTGCACCTGTCTGCCTGCAGGCAGAGCTTCCACAGTCAGGGAGAGATAACCTTGAAGAGGGCGGAGCCCCGAGGACTGCAGCGAGCTGATAGAACAGCAGCGCCACACCCACTCAGTGCGTGTGTGTGGGTTTCGTCCTGAGAAGCGACTCAGACTAAAAGCGAGCTGGTGAGGTGATGGCGGCACTCTCATGTTCGGCCATGTTGTACTTTGTGTTTGTCTGCAGCTGAGAGGTTCAAGCACACCTTCCTTCACCTGTCTGGGCTCGAGGGTACCACTGGCCGTTTTCACTACTGCAGATTTTAGCTCTTTGAAAACTGTTTACGTCTCGTTCCTTTCAACGTTTCATTCAGGCATTTACATGCTTCTATAAATAAATACAAGCCAGTAAAGACTGAAAGGAAGGATAAAAAAGGATGACACGGGACATAATAAGGTTACATATGTACCTGAGTACACACACCTCCCTCCCCAGGAGTGCATTGCTACTGACTGATTTAGTTGTTTTTTGCGAGGTGAGAGACTGAAGGCTGCAAGATGTTCTCAAAATCTTTCAGTTGGTCTTTTAATACAAATCTGTCCACACAGAGTCAGGATGACGCCACCTTTTTAAAGAAGGACCGATTTCTTTGAACAACCTCACATGTTTGAATTTACTGTTAATTTTTCATTTTGACATTTTGTATAAACACAATGGTAAATAGCATATTTACTCGTCCCTGAGGACCCCAAAGCGCTTGCTTTACACATCCAGTCATCCACCCATCCACACACTGGTGATGGCAGCTACATTGTACCCACAGCCACCCTGGGGCGCACTGACAGAGGCGAGGCTGCCGAGTCACTGTTTCCTCCGGGCCTCTGACCACCACCAGTAGGCAACGGGTGAAGTATCTCGCCCAAGGACACAACGATCAACGATTCAGAAAAAAACATTGTGCATATTTTTTACCCTAACTCTGGTTTTTATGTGGCCTGTCAGCACAATTAAAAAAAAAACTGGTGTACAGTTTGAAGTCCGCACTCAGGGTGGCTGCATCTTGTTGTTATGTCATCCAAAACTGCCACAAAGCCCCTCGAACACCACGGCTAAACCTCAAAGGGGCACAAGAAGCCTGGAGACAGCCTGCGAGCCCCTTTCGAAACACGGCAGACCAGCAGGTGCTGCTCAGCACCAAAACCCAGGCAGCTATCACTGCTGCCACACACACTTTAACTGTGGACAAGCTTTTATGCTGGTTGAGAACAACATGACACTCACTGCACCCTGGAAGGTGCTGTGGCCCCGATCATGGCCCTCCATTTATGTGTGGAGGGTGTATGTTGTATAATATTAATGTCAGGGCTTACCATCATGTACATGGACTGTTTCTTATATGTTCTACTCTGTCAGAGCACTCAGAGTGCAACTAATTCAAGCACTTCTTCTAAGCTCTTAGGTGCTCAAACTAGCATTCACACACATGGGGTTAGTATCTTGCCCAAGGATATTTGGCATGCAGACTGGAGCAGATGGGCATCGAACCACCGACCTTCTGGTTAGCGGCCGACCTGCTCTGCCACCTGAGCTACAGCCACCCCTGAGCTACCACTCATGTGAGAACCGACCCAGAAAGCCACTGACCTGAGCGACCTCCGGAGCGGCGTGGATCAAGTGCCACACGTAACCGTTCAGCTCGTCCTTCCTCCTGTCAGCCATCGCCTCGCTGCGGGAACGGCCAATCACAAAGCGACTGGGGAAACTGTGGGAGGGGATAAGAGGACAGGAGGAAGGACCTTCTGCAAAGCTCCTTTGTGCACCTAGGAGTGTGTGTCTATGGGCACACATGTGTGCATGTCAGTGTGTGTGTCTGTGTACCTGGGCAGTTTGGATGAGGGGAAGATGAGCCTCAGTTTGCTGTGGAGTTCCTGAAACTCTTCAAACGTCCTCTGAACCAGCTGCACCTCCTGCTGACCTTCACGCTCCACCTTCACCACAAAAGCCTGACACACACAGACACACACAGCTGGTTAGTTTCTGCTTCCCATGTGCTTCCCATGTGCTTCCCACTGGCACGTCTGGACTCACATATCCCTTTCCGCCGGTCCGGATATGTCTGCAGATGTACAGGTTCTTGATGATGCCGTCGCTCTTTGCCGAGTGGAACCTGGGGGCGAACGACAGCGTGGGGCGCTCCTCCGACGAGGTGAACTTCATCTGGGCCAGATTGTGGATGAAGAAGTTCAGTTTGGTGGCAACGCTGCCCAGACTGGACTCGATCAACCTGCCGGGGTCAGAGGGGTCGTTAACAAAGGCGGCAGGTGTAGCCTGGACGCTGCCAGAGACCGTCTGCAGCGCAGGTCGTGATGACTCGTGTCTCTGCCCTGAAGGTCGGAGGCATCTGTGCAGGTGAGCCCGCGCCTACCTGGTGAAGTACATGGTGGCGTCAGCCTCAGACTCGTGAGGTCTCAGTGCATCATAGACATACTTCAGGTCATCGAGGTCGGAGAGCTCCGGGATCCCACAGGACAACATCTGGACACACACGCACACACACACACGCACACACAC